CACATTGAACTAACATTTTTTGATACGTTAGAATTAAAGCAAAAATAAATAAAAAATAGTCATACCTAAATTTTAACTACCACTTTTTATTTTTTCTATCTTGATTCTGATTCTGAATACATTTATGACTCGCACCCTTCCCGATGAGGTTATAAAAGATTATGTAACCCAGTTGGACGACGGAGAGGCTGCTTCGCGTGTATTAGGAAAAAAATCACGAAATGTTAATTGAATATTTTTATTTGAGATACTAAAACATATTCTCATTAAAAAGAATCACGTATTGCAGCTGGTTGTTTAACATAGGTTGTGACGATTCGGAAAATAATCATGAAAATTAATTGAATTTTTATTAGACGTATTGAAACGGATTTCTTATTTAAATAGAACACGTATTCCATTAAGGTCTGAAGAGTTTATGAAACTTTTTTACTTAATAAAAGGTATCTAAACACGTTTCTCATCAGAAAAGATCACGTATCCCAGCTGATTGAAACATTACATTTTATGCCTGCCAACAGTTACTAACTTCAAAAAAGCTTTTTCCTAGTGGTAGACACAAATAATTAATTTATCTTTCGCCGTCCCTTGAAACACTGTAAAACTTCTTCTTTAGTTATGCTAGCTGGGCCAACAAACTGAAGCCAAGGTTACTTGGCAACGTTACGTGTACCGCCAAAATAATAAAAATCTGATACATCGTGAATTATTTAGCATTATCATGCCTGCCAACTTTTACGCATTTGGCGTAAAATTTTATTTCCATATTTAAAGTGGTAGTAAAATGTATGCTCTCTATATATTCCTTGCATTTACAAACTAAATTTATGATCTTTTTGATCACCACTATTTTTTAAAAAATTAAGTATGTATAATAATAAGGAATTTTGATGTGTTAATCCGCAGATGTTGCCTCAAAATACAACGAATGTTTCCTTTTACTACCACTGGGGAAAATCATCCTCGAAAAGATTAAAAGTTGGCACGTATGCATTTTGTGGTAGCCATGAGTGAAAACACTTTAAGTCCTAGTGTTTTGATTGTATTCGGCACCTGGGCAGCAAAGCTGCCCAACACTTTAAATCAGATAGCTGGTACTCCTTACATATCTTTAAACTTTTAAATGTAGTGGTAGTTAAAAATATATTAAGTCAAATTTGTAAAAACAAGAATCTGGCATGAATGCAAAAAAATTTTTGCTAAAATTGGCAGACATGAATTGTCTATACATACCTGCCTACTTGTTCTGATATAGCGGAGCGTCCTTATCTGCCTTATCCAGTCAACGCTACTTCTAAATAATTTATAGGTTTATGTAATGCGCCATTTTGTTTCAGTTAAGTCATGTTGAACATTGTATAGGACTACCAACTTTCAACGTCTTTTATAAAAATTTATTCTAGTAGTACTTAAGTTTGCGTTTTAGTATGATATGTTTTATTCAATTGAACTTATTTTCCACACCACTAATCATAAATAATTTAAAAGAACATATGCTACGCAACTTTGTTTCAGCTACATCGTGGTGACACGTTTAAAATATTAGCAAAATTCTGAAAGCTTTGGCTTTTAAATATCAACTGCTCTATAAAATATTTAACAAAAAGCGTAGTAGTTGGCCGGCCTGTAGGTAAAAAGTAGGCAACTTCAACCGAAAATCTGCAAGTTTTAGTTGGTAGTTCTCGCTCCTATTTTTCTAAAATATATTGCCGCTTCCGGAGCAGTTGTCATCACTAAGATTCTAGAAAAAGAAAAAAAAAACTCAGTCTAACACGTTTTTACGAGATCCTTCTGAAGATTTAACTCTTTAAATCCCATTTTAGAAGATCTCTTTTTCCCAGGTAGCTCAAACATTTTATACTTAGCACATACAATCGGAAAGAATAAAGCTCGTATCAACCAAACTATATTAGTTATTTAAAATTATGTAGCTTGTGGTGTGCACAGGGATTCCACAGACGACTAAAAACGAAGGGGTGGTGATTAATAATTAACAAAAACCTATTTAAAAAACTCTGAAAATTGACCGCCTTTTTTTATTCAAGTATTTTTAGTTTTTTATTGAAAGTGATAATGAATTTTTTAATTTTAAATATAAATGATTTACAACGTATGTTATCGTGGTAGTTATGAGTTCATATAATTACTCAGTCATAAATTATGATTGAATAATTATATGAATTAAATAAATTAAAGATGAATTGAGTTTTTTTCACTTCTTACATATTTAGCTACATTCTTAACACTGGGATTACAGGACGTGTCATTTTGACGCATTTCGAATTTTATAAGGAAAGTTACAAAGCCCGTTTGCATTTTTATTTTGTCTCTTGTAATGACTTTTATCCATTGATCGTGGCAAATATATATTGAAGTCTATTTTCTTCAAAAGCGTTGAAATGTTAAAATTCTCTATGTGGTATACCTAACTCTACGGATATGCGTCAATTTGACGCTTTCGTAATTTAGACAAAATTTTGAGTAAATATGCAAACATCACATCAATAATAAATAGGAATGTACCGACAATACTTCGATCCGTTATCCGATATCGTTATCTCAAATGAAACAAACGATAAACAGTAAAAGAAAGAACAAACGCAGAATGTCAATTGATCTCACAGTGTCAGATTTCGAAGGTTTCAATTGCTTAGTTCGAGTATTGAAAAATAAAATACTAGAATATTTCATAAATATATACTGATATGCTTTCTAAGTGCAGAGATGCTAACTGCTCCGGACACGGCAAAATAATTTTTTAAAAAAAATGGTAAATAAATAACTACTGAGTAAATTTTGCAAAAATAAAGTTTTGAATTATATAATCATACGAATTATTTAGAAATTTTGGTAGATAAAAATCTTCTAAATTGAATTTAGTGAACCAAAAATCCCAATTGATAAATTACCACTTTAAAATATATATTTGCTGTCCAGAGCAAGTTGGTATCTCTGTAAGTGCTGTTATATGTATTCGTTCATACGTCAAAGTGACGCGTCTTCGTAGAGATAGGTATATAAGAAACGTCCGTAAACCTAGTGTTAAATTCTTATATCTTTTTTTTTTCAAATCAAGCAGTTATTGCATTTATTAAAAAATTTACTAGCTAGCTGAATAATATATCCATTTAATTTATATACAAACCTGCTACCACCATTTTCCCTTAAGCACTTTTTCCATGAGCAAGGATGTTACTTGTGACTAAAAAGAGAAAAAGTGGTAGAAACTCAATTTATTTTTATTCATTTATTATACCTTAAATTAATTAATTGTATCTGCCACTATGACTTAAATTTCCAATTATTCATGCTAAAAAAATTCTTTTCAATTGTAAAATGAAAAAAAGCTTTAAAAAGTTGCCAATTTAACCATTTTTAAAATGTTTTTGATTTCATTAAGCACCACTCTTTGCATTTATAATCGCACATGGCAACCCAGCATTGGTGCAAAATAAATGTCCGCTGTATTTTGCTCCAATTCTTCCCTGCCATTGTCCCACAAAAGAATTTTTTTTTTTTAACCGTTGAATGCCACGCCAATTTTACATGGCTTGCCCGTCTGGCCAAACGGTAAATAACCACATAATAAATTTGAAAATTTGACAGATTTTGCTAGTTTCTTTTTAGATTTTCGCACAACATTATTTAACTTGACTTGATAGGATTTGTCGTCGGGCATCTCACTCCTTCATCTAGTCTGTTAAAATAATTGAGACTAATGGCACTGGTAAATAAGAGATTCGAGTGGTGGCTGTGAAGCCGCTGTAGAATTATAGTCATACATACCCTCCAACTGCTACGGAATTTCCGTAGTTTCAGAAATCTTCTTTTCTGACGGGAGCAAAATTAATGTCTTAATATTTAAAAAAAATTAATTTTAGTGTAACTTGTCAACTATTACTTATAAAAGTGCAGGCCATATGGCTAGATTCTTAAGTTCTGATAAAAGTTTTATGAGAGATCCATTTGCTTTAAAAATTTCTACTTTGGTTCGCTACCACTAGAAAGAATTATTTTCAAAATCCTCATAAGTTGGAGGGTCTGGTCATATCTGAGTAAATATTATTTAAAAAGAGTGGTGAATTATATAAATCTACGAATTGTTTAGAAATAGTGGTGGATAAAAATCTACTAAATTAAATTTTTTAAACCAAGAATCACAATTAATAAACTACCACTTGAAAATATTTATTCGCTGTATGGAGCAAGTTGGCATCTCTGTGTATATAAATAAAACTATTTTTGTGTGTTCGATATAGCATTAATTTCTTCAAGCCATTTTAGTAACGAAAATAAAATAAGAAAAATAAAAAATTACTCGATATATGTGTTACATACTCGAATTATGTGTCGAATTATAATCTTGGCTTCGCCGGTCACCGGTGACCCCCCATGGCATGCAACGTGATAATTTATCGAATTGGTTATAACTATGTATTAATTAGTGTAAGAACTTTTATTATTAAGCTTTAAACTGAATGGAGAGATTCGTGTACAGTTAACAATCTCGCGAAGAGAACATAGTTCTGATAAATTTTAACCCCTTAATACCCAGCAACAAAAAGATATTTCTCTTGTTTGGTTAAGCAAAATGTATATTTTCTTCTATTTTCTACCTCTTTGAAAAGCTATGTGCAAAGATTTCAAATCAAAAGGTAAATATTTATTTTGCCAGTATTTACCATACTGGCGAAATAAATATTTGCCTTTTGATTTGATTTTTGGCTACCTGAACTACAGGGGAAAAAAGATTAAACAATACAAATCAAAACAATGGATGATCAAAACAATGGAAACACATTCATACTGACTCCACATAAAAAAAAATTTGCCTCATATAAATGAGTGTACGAAGTTAAAAGCTGATTTTCTTTTTCAATACCACAATAATTAAAAAAGCATTTTCAACTAAATATTGCAATCGTACTGAATATTTTCAAAACTAGTTGTATTATTTCAAGTAAAATCCTTCATTTCTTATATTTTCTTTTCAGATAATACGCCATGAAGTGTCATTTCCCCCAACTCATCACAATCATCCTCTCCTGTTGCTTTCGTGTAGGACTGTCCGAGTTTTTCACTGCAATAGCAGAATTAGAAAAATTACTGCAAACCGAAGAGAAAGTTGTAAACTCTTTAAACACTTATTTAAAGATTGAAGAAGAAAGACTACAAAAGGTGAAATGGTAAGACATTTAAACTTTTTTAATTGAAAGCCATTATAGCTATTAGTTGCCAACTGCTCGTTTACAGCAAAATATTTTAATAAAGTATAAGACACTAAGTTTTGTTTAATTTTGAGATCATTTTTGAAACTACNCATTTTTGAAACTACCCCCTTGAACATAAAATAGAAGCGGCAATTTACATAAATGTTTAAATTATTTAATATCAATGGTTCACAAAATCATTTTTTTTTCCTTTAAATTTACAAAACTAAAGAACAAAATATTTAAACCCAAATTTTGCTACCATTGGAAAAGTGTTTTCCACCAAGTGAAACAAACTGACATGTTTTCTGTTTTGTACACATATGTTTCCTATATCTATATTTTGTGTTTCTAATATTAGCAAAATTTATTTAAACAAATGCTTTATACTTTCCCATTGATTAAGTTAACATTTAATTTTCGACAAAGCACGGAATGCGTAATTTGGATAATGGACATAACTATGCGCGTTTTTATTTAAAAAACTGGAGAATAATTTTTTTCCACTTTTATGTTACAAAATAGTAAGAAATCCACTTACAGTTAACCCGACGTCAAGCGATCTCTATCTTATTATTCCTTATCATTCAGAAGGTTTTTTGTCAGCAAATTCGGAGTAGGATATCGATTGGCCTGCTATCAACGGAATTCGAACATGGATCTACTCATAAGAAAGCGATTGCTCTATATACTCTGAATGGGGCTGAAAGTTAATACTCCCTCCGTCCCAAATTAGTAGCTAGATTCGGGTCGAAAATTTTGTTCCACATTAGCTGCTACTTTACAAGTAGGTAGAATCATCAATAATTTCGAACGGAGAATAATTTTTTTCCACTTTTATGTTAAAAAATACCACGAAATCCACTTACAATTAACCCGAAGTCAAGCGATCTCTATCTTATTATTCCTTATCATTCAGAAGATTTTTTGTCAGCAAATTCGGAGTAGGATATCGATTGGCCTGCTATCAACGGAATTCGAACATGGGTCTCCTCATAAGAAAGCGATTGCTCTATATACTCTGAGTGGGGTTGAAAGTTAATACTCCCTCCGTCCCAAATTAGTAGCTATATTTAGGTCGAAAATTTTGTCCCACATAAGTTGCTACATTACAAGTAAGTAGAATCATAAATAAATTCTGGTGCAGTTTTCGAAGTGATCGGCTCCATTAAATTATATCATACCTGCCAACTTTCACTCTTTCCGACAACGGATTTTCAGAGTAGTTGTTAAACAATAAACGAAAAACAAATTGACTCAAAAATATATTTATATTTTGATTCTGTAGAAATTCGCTTGTGCATGCGGAAACTATTAATTGGAACTATTACACATGCTAATGCTAATAGCCATGCATTCTAAAACTTTCAGAATTTCCTGCATTANAAAAAAGAGTTTATACACTTTTCTAATTAAATTAATAAACCAGGAATTTTAAAAACTAATGTATCAAAAAACATTAATTTTCTCAATTGTTGTGTTTTGGACTTAACCGCATTGGCTCCTGAGCGACTCATATGTTTCCTATATCTATATTTTGTGTTTCTAATATTAGTAAAATTTATTTATACAAATGCTTTATACTTTCCCATTAAGTTAACGTTTAATTTTGGACAAAGCCCGAAATGCGTATTTCGGATAATGGACATAAATATGTTCGTTTTTAAAATACTAGGAAATCCACTTACAATTAGCCAGACGTCAAGCGATTTTTATCTCATTATTCCTTATCATTCAGGAGGTTTTTCATAAGCAAATTCGGAGTAGGATATGAATTGACCTGCTATCAACGGAATTCGAACATGGGTCTCCTCATAAGAAAGCGATTGCTCTATATACTCTGAAAGGGGTTAAAATTTTATACTCCCTCCGTCCCAAATTAGTAGCTATATTTAGGTCGAAAATTTTGTCCCACATTAGCTGCTACATTACAAGTAGGTAGAATCATCAATAATTTGCGATGCAGTTTTCGATCTGATCGGCTCCAGTAAAATTATATTAGTTGTGAATTCACTACCGCTTAGCTGGAAAATAGTTACAGGCGATTACTTATGAATAAGTCCTTAAAATAGGCGAGGCTTAAGAACCTAGGAACAGTAATTTTTCAACACTTTGCACTCGAGGTTCTTTCAGCTGTTAAAAAAAGTGACCCAACCACTAACATTTTGAAAGATTTTTTTACAAACTCACCTTATAATACCTTCAGACCACTGAATGAAGTGGCAACTAAACATTAAGTCGAAAAAATTTTAGATTTAGAGTGGTGGGTAATTTGACTGATAGTGGTGACTGACAGTCACCTCTCGAGTGCAAAGGGTTAACTTAGTACAGATTTAAGGAATGAAGGAAAGAATGCTTGGTTCTTATTGTTGATTGATAGAACAATATGCTAAAATCTCTGAAAAAATATTCAGACAAAATCATTAAATCGTCAGTGTTAATAATTAGTTAAAAAATGTTTAAATGTTGTAACAAATTTGAGACAGATGAAATACATGTTTTGACCTAAATTTTACAACCATTTTAACTATTTTAGCGTACTACTGAATGTCTCAAAATTATGTAAGCGAAGTTGCTCAACCCATTAAATGCTAGGCTACAAATATTGCTTTGATTTAAAAATGTCCCGGCATGAAAAAAGCAGCAGTACTTACATAATTAAACGCATGTGCTGCAGCTTTATTTTCTGATTTGAAGAAAAGAAATTTCCGATGCAAAACGCATCAGAAACAGGTTTATGCTGATAATTTAACTTTTGCACGCTATTTTGTCTAACATTAAAACTTAATTATTAAAATATTCTTACATTTATTGCATTTAAGTGATCTGCAAAAATTTTTTCCATTGTTTATTTTTCTTCAATTCAAAATATATCTTTATCATTGTACTAAATGGATAAATTACCGACGTTATTACCTATTATTTTAAGCATGAAAAATATAAGCGATAATTAGATTTATTTTAGATTGAATTATTGCAATAATGCAGAAAAATAATTCTTTTATACTTTAGGCTAAGTCAGCAATATGCAGATCTTTATAATGCAGCCAATGAGGACGTCGAAACATTTTTGTCGAATCCTGTTAACGCATACTTATTGGTGAAGCGATTATCAGCTGACTGGGAAACAACCAATAGAATTGTGGATAGTTCTGAAAGTAGAGGTGAATTGTGAAATGTTTTATTTTAAATTGAAGGGAAAATGAAATTTTTGATATATCAACCAGTAACGATCATAATTCACAATATTAATAATAATTTTTTAGAATTCTAAGTTTTTGCACTCTGAGTAACCTACTTAGTACAACGCTTTTATATAATTCACATAATTTTTAATAATATCTCCTACGAGGAATTTTTTAGAGTGGTGACTTACGAAGCCACAGTATAATCAGGATGCTTGTGCTTTTGCAAAATATTTCATTAAGAGGTAAACACATTAAAACCAAAGCTTTCAGAATTTTTAGAAATTTTGCCAACATTCAAAATGGTAGAAATAGCTAGAACCTGGGTACACAGCCGCGAAGCGGCTTTAACCCATTCATCGATCTTGGATAGTTCTGAAATGATGATTCAGTCACTGGTGGATCTGAAAGTAGAAAAAATATAAGACCACAACGAGCTGTGATCTTAGAAAAAAAACAAAAAAGGTTCATGGGCGCGTGGTTTCGTGAATACTGGTTGCTGATTAGCCGATGGCAGGAGGTCTATGCTATGTTGGTAGATGTTGTTTCAGGAGCTCTGGATTTTATAAGTCCGATCAATAAATTGAAGACTTCTTCATTTTTAATAAGATTTTCCAGTTCTGTGAGGAGTAATAAGAGTCTAGCAGCTAGGGCGACGTCTTTTCCCTTGGGTCTGGAATTGTTGACTTGTTTGAAAGGCCTTTTAAGTAGTCTGGAAGGGCACTTTGAGTAGTTAGCTGTATGGGCATCACCACAATTTGCACATGTTGCAGGTGATGATCTGTCCTTGGAGCAGAGGTAACTTCTATGTTTCCCGGCGCATTTCACACATCGGGCCTCGTTGTTGCAGGTGCGCTGGGTATGACCGAACTTTTGGCAGCAGAAGCACTGGACTTGGCCACGCCCACCGCGGAAAAGCTTGATCCTGATTCGTCGATGACAGTAGACCTGTGTGGTATTCTTGAGTTTTACTCTAATGTTATTTTCGCCTTTACAAATCACGATAAAATTCAGAGAGTCTTTTAGTGGTCTGTCTTTTTCGTCAGTTTTTATCTTCATTGGGATAATCTTGGTGGGAAAAAGTCCAGAAATTTCTAAGTCCTTCTCTAGGTCTGTAGACGTAGTTGAGTTAGTGAAACCTCGAAACAAGAATTTCACATATTTAGCAGGCGGGGGGTGCTGTCGCTGCCTCCGCCGGAGGAGCAGGCGCAGGTTCGGGAGCTTCATTGTCTGCAAAGAGTATCTTGAATTTTTCCTTTGCCGGTGAGGTAATGGGAGTAGAATTGCAAGAGTCTTTAACCCTTTCGCGCCGACTGTCACAAATACGTGACAGCAAAAAACCGTATAAATCAGGGTAGGAAGATAAAACTGGTAATCAAAGTATTTCTTTAGCAGTTTATTTGTGGGCGGAGTTATAATTTTTTGATTTATTTAATTCACGATTACTTTGTTCAAAATAAAACTATTTAGTTATACTTTGAATTTAATTATATATATGATTAAACTAACAATAATTAAAATAAAAGCAAAGTAAGTCTGTCGAATTAGTAACGACTACATTTAAGTTACCGTTTTTAATTTAATTGCAACTTGATTCTGATTTTGTACGAATGCTTTTCTGAATCACCCGTCCCCAAGGGGTTAATGTTGAGTGTAGGCTCGGGTTGCTTGGTTGGGGTGGAGTCAGGCTGGGATGTAGCACAAGAGGTTTTAGTAGCCGTGAAAACAACTTTTTGAGGCAAATCTGTGCTGGTCTCTTTAGTCTTGGTAGGGTTTTCAGCTAGCTGCTTAAGTTTGCTCTGTTATAGGTATTTGATCGTGTATCTGAAGTCTAGAAAGGCTTTCTGAGTTGATAAAAGTTCATCAAAATTAGTCGGGGGCATTAGGATCTTCAATCTCAGGAGCTCATCATGTTGTTCACTATAAATTTTCAGCTTTCTGTCTATGTTGTTGTCTCTGAGAATGGCTTTATCGGTGCACTTGCGGCATCCCGCTTCGATTTCTTCTATCACAATTGGATCAATGTAGAAAGTACTGCAGAACTCTTCTTGGGTGTACTTAATGGTTGGCCTGGTAGAGTTACACCCTCTTTTTCCACCTCTTCCGATATGCTTCGTAGACATTATAAAACAGGACCGCACTCCAAAGAAGTGATCATCATCCAACATTCAAAATGCTTCACCACGTTTCATATGAACTTTTGAATTATTCGCACCACTTAAATGAATTAAAGATAATACATTTAAAAATAAATATAGGTCATATCTACCAATAGAATAATTTTATAGAAGATATAGAGTTCTAATTTGGTAGCCCTCTGAAATAGGTGTCAGTGAAGCACAAAAGTTTAAATATCTCCACCTCATATCTCCGCCAAGAGAGTTTTCTTTAACCCCTTGGGGACGGGTGATTCAGAAAAGCATTCGTACAAAATCAGAATCAAGTTGCAATTAAATAAAACCAGACTTAAAAGCCANATAATTACAATAAATATATCAAAGCATAATAATCCATGCCCAAGCGAATTTCAACGGGATCAAAATATAAATATATTTTCGAGTCAGATTGTTTTTCGTTGATTGTTTTACAATTACTCTGAAAATCCATTCTCGGAAAGAATGAAAGTTGGCAGGTATGATTTTTAAATGAATTAAAGTTAATACATTTAAAAATAAACATAGGTCATAGTTACCAATAGAATAATTTTATAGAAATTAGTTTTATAGAAGATATAGAGTTCTAATTTGGTAGCCCTCTGAAATAGGTGTCAGTGAAGCACAAAAGATTAAATATCTCCACCTCATATCTCCACCACGAGAGTTTTCCTTAATATTTAGAGTAGTAGTAAATTTTATGCTCAAAATCATATTTTTGATTAATTAAATATAATCTTCATTGATTGTTGTTACTACCATGTGTAAAGATAATAAGCGCTCTGCACTCCACGTGTTTCTAAATACTGTTTGAATCAAGGTAAGCATTTAATAATTTCAAAAACAACACGCAGTATTTTTAATCTTTTAAAAGCACATAGTACTGTGGTTAATAATTATAAAGACATAAATTTTTATAATTACATTAATCGATAAATTAATACATAATGTTTTTTACTTTTAGATTGGTGATTTTTTTTCACAGTGCAAAGGATTGAAGCAATTACATAAGACTTAACTATCCTGTAATGAGAATTCTTTTAGTACATACTTTTAAATTTAACAATACAATCTATATATATCAAAATGAATGTCTGCGGATGTTTTTACAGACTTCTAAACCATCTGACCGAAAACTATAAAAATAGGCATGTTGATAGTTTAAAGCACGAGGAAGGTCACTGTTGACGTTTAGAACATTTTACGACAAACCGTTCTAGCGGGATGAGCGAAAAACGAAATGGATTTTTCTGATTGGTTAAGCGTTTGCCATTGTTTTAAATTAAACGATTCAAGTTTTCACATATTTTAAAGATAACATCAGTGATAATTGCCAGCTTATAGCTTTATTTGATCAAAAATTAGTTTATTGCATGTATTTAAGTATTTAATTGTATTTACATATTTTCAGAACGAAAAAATAAGGTGTATCCTAAATATTTTATTACCAATTTATTAGAATGTGAGATTAATCATTCTTTGCTTTGTTTTATTTACCACTGTCTAATTTGAAATAAGAATCATACTAAAAACTAATATGGATTAGTTAAATTAAGATGAAAGTGAAAACAAAAAGAGTTCTGTTACATTAAACATACCCATATTGACGCAATCATTTTATGTTATTCACTCCAATTTATTAATTGCCCTAAAAATGTCATTCATCTGGATCTTCCATCTTTTGCTGTTTGGTATATGTCTATCAGTTTTGATTTTTTTTTATTCACCCCGTGCGAAGAATGGGTATTCAGCTAGTATATTATAAATGATAATTTTTTTATAAAATGAGCTCCGGAGCGTGGCGTTAATTTCCAATTTCAAGATTATTTTTAAGGGTTCCATTTTTTAAATTAATTTCAGAGGTTATTCAAAATATAACAAACGAAGTGAAGGCTTTTCCGAGTAAAGAAGATTTATCTGGAGCTGCTGCAGCATTAATTCGACTTCAAGAAATCTATCTACTAGACGCTGCTACACTTGCTCGAGGACAAATAAAAGGAACCATTCCATCCAGTAATCTTACGGGTGAGAATTTATTGAAAATTTTAAAGCAATTTGTATATAATTTTTCAAATTTTTCAAATTATTAATATTTTTTAGATTTTTATAAAAATTGCTCTTTTTTAAACTGGTTGTATTTATAGAGATGCAGAGATGCCAACTGCTCCGGACACTTCAAAATAATTTTTAAAAAAAAAAAACGGTAAATAACTATAAACTAAAATTTGCAAATACTTGAATAATTTAGCTAATTTTTTAAAGGGTCTACCATGACATAACTATGATAAAGTGGGGAATATATAAGCCTACGAACTATTTAGAAATAGCGGTGGATAAAAATTTGATAGATTGAATTTATTAAACCATGAATCACATTTAATAAACTATAACTCGAGAATATTTATTCGCTGTCCGGAGCAAGTTGACATCTCTGGATTCACGTGGATAAATTTTTTTGCTCATTATTTTCTTTACACCCCTTCTACCTATAAAAAGTGACTGCAGCTGCCCTGGTAAACCAGGATTGTGTTTTTTAAAAAATTTATTTAAAGTGGTGAAAAAAATTTTTATATCTTGTTTACTTTTAATAGAATGTATACTCTGCCCTTTAACAATGGAAGAGGCGCCTTTACTTTTTGATAATTTAAAAAAAAAATTCTGGAAATATTTCGTGAGAATTATTTTGTAGCTTCAGTAGTGTTTAGTTTATGTGATTTTTCATACTTTCCAATTGTCTATTTCTCATACTTATCAATAAAATTTAAAGCTTTCAGAGATTTCAAGACCGGTAATAAATAAACAAGTATTTTTGAACACTCTTTGCAAGAAAATATAGAGATAAGTTTGCTCAAACTCTTGCCTAAAACTTTTTTAAATTTTAAAGTATAGCACCTGCAATATATTTTTTGGAAAAGTAACCCACGTGCAATTTGTTAAAAGTGTATATTCTGAACATAAGTAAGTCACCAACAATATTTCTTGACATCTTAAATTTGAAATTTGTGTTTTTTATTAATTACAGCTGGAGACTGCTTTGAACTTGGAAAACACGCCCATTCACAGGCAGATTGGAACCGCTCTCTTCTATGGATGGAGGAATCATTGCAGCGGCTAAAATTGGAAGAGGACCTTCAACCACTAAAATCTGCCAATGAAGCTGACATTTATGAATACATGGCCTTCGCACATTTTTCTGTTTGTACTCTTTCATTTCCTTTATTTATATACTCTGGCAATTAACGACTTAGTTAGAAATTCAGTTGCAACAGCTATACATTTTGCTAAACTATTGTAGTTAACAATTATAACTCAGTGTACATACACGTAGTCTTGATTGCCAACCGGATAAAACTCTATTATCCTATTTAAATAGTAGAAGAATTCATTATTTTTTAAAAAAACAAACAAACATAACTCTTTTAAAAAAACTAATTAATAAAAAATAACAACAAAAAGTAATGGTCTTGTAAAAGAAACATTTTTAGGTTGATTCTCAGTGTAAACAAAGAAAAAGCCGAACTAGAAAATGTGCTCTAATTCCAGTTTTATTAGTTACATTAGTTACTTTCTATGAAATATTCTATAAAGTAATAAAGTATTAAACTCTGTCAGTTTCTTTTTCTTTTTTTAAAACAAAAACGAAAACAAAACTCTTAAGAGTTGAGAGTTTACCACGGAAATTGAGACTTCGGACGGAACTGTAAGAAAACTAAGAGTTTACCACGGAAGTCGAGTATTGTGGATTTAATATCAACTCTGGGCCAACTGTTTCTCATAAACAGTAAAACTCTTACAAAGATTTGGAGGATTCTTCAGTCATGATGGCTACCCAGGTAATCAGACACCGGCTACCATAATGGTCCATTTTTTCGGACATTAAAGAGTCGGTAGCGGGTTCAAGTTAACGCCATATTAAAGCAAGAAACTTGTAAAATAGGGACTTTTATCTGATCTCCAGAAGCTGAAAAATTTCTTTTTATTTCATTTGAACTTCTTTTTACTTCATTTCGCAAACCTCCAACATCTGAGATTCGTAGAAATTTTGAAAACAACATGTATTTTAGAAATTTTATAAAAGCATGAATTTTTTTTTAAATGCGCGACTTTTTGCAAATGTCATTTCTCAGGAAATCGAGTTCGCGCAAATTTGCCATGCATAATTATATACTTTAAAATGACGTAAAAAATTCTATATCTTACACTTCAAAATCTTTCGTCTGTTATTAAATAAAATAATAAAAAGCAATAAACATTTACTAAAATTGATTTTTTGCAGGAATTATCTTTAGATAAATAAATTTTATAATTACACTCAAAAATGTTTAATTCCTTTAAGAAATTCTCGAGATATGGTAAAATGCGCAAAAAGTAAAATTAACACTGAAACTTTTTAACGCTCTCTTGTCTAAACTATTGGGACAATATTTTCCAGACTGCGCCTAATCCCTATATTTTAGGACTCAGATATCCGAATCCGCTTAAAAAAAGGTATGTTTATTCAGAGAGAGTGAATTTTTTGCCAGATTTCATAATTTAAAATATCGTTTGCACTAATTAATTACCATATAAGATCACCTTCTCTTAAGAAGAATGTAAAGATCCGACTATTAGATCAAAAGTTATTCAGGGTGATCCGTTGTTTTTGGGAGCTCTGTCCATGATGATACTGATGAGATTTTTAGAATTGAAGTTCAAATTGTTGCTGACAAAAATATTACTTTAATTGAACATTAAAATTAAAATGAATGAATAGAATTAGAATTTTTAAGATTTCTGAATACTAACGCAATTTTTCGCAATGTTGCAGAAATGCAACAATATATATTTTATTCATTTTGTATAATGTAGAAATACAACTAACCCTTTTTACAATGAATTTTTAGTTTATAATGAAATGCATTTTATGTGCTAAATACGATATTTTATTTTGCATTAAAATTGTTTTGTTTTTTTCAATTGGGATGTGTTGAGACTTAAAGGGATAACGAAGTCAATTAAAAGGAATTTTTTATTACAGTTAAACAACTTCAGCGCTGCTGTTGAGTTAACAGAAAAGTTATTGCAGGTCGGTAAGTATGACACAAATTGAAATTCTTATTTTTAATAATATTTCCTACTTGATTATTTAAGCAATAGCACTTTTAATTTAGGTGAATGAACATAAATTAATCTTCCCTCATAGAGCTCAAAGCTTTTCGTAAAAATACTTTTATTGATGTTACTGTGATGGAGATGTAACCATGAGAGCTTCGGTAATTTGGTTTTATTCGCAATTAGTGTAAATAGCTACTATGTACGAGTATCCCCAGAGAATTTTGTGAGTTCCAGTAAAGTTACTTTACTTACAGAAATTGCACACCTGTGCCGCGTAGCGGCTCCTATCCCATACATCAGGAAATTTGCAAAGAATTGGAAGTAATAACATTTTGAAATTAGCAATCTTTGTGGTAGCAAATACAAAAATACAAGCGCTTTGCTTGAGTAAATACATACCTGAAAACTTTTAATTCCTACGAGGATAATTTTCCCTAGTGGTAGTAAAATTAAATACAAATTACAATTTTCGGCAGAAGAGTACCCTGTATTACGAAAAAGTTTGCGTGGACTAGTACAACAGCATTACATATTGATATATATGCTTAATTTTTTTAAATATAGTGGTGGTCAAAAAGATTATAAATTAAGTTTATAAATGCAAGAAACATATAGAAAGTATACATTTAACTACCACTTTAAATATAGAAATAAAATTTTACGCCAAATGCGTAAAAGGTAGGTATGTAAGTATGTGGCAGGTATGTAAATATAACATTGGAATATCTGATTCATCGAATCTAAATTGACACATGTATTAACACATATAAGTATAAACATAATTTGAATATATATATACATAAGCTGTCATAAATAAATATTAACATAAATTGAGACATATTTCACTAATTAAATTTCTATATTTAACTGACACATGTTTGATTATGACATAAATTAAAAGTCTAAAATTTAGAGTTGAATATTAATATGAAAAGTATAAGTCCTCGATTGGGAAATAAAATCATCACAGGTCTCCCCTAAGATCCTCTGTAAAAGACTTCACTTTTTAAATGGTCTTGGAGCTCTTTCACAAGTGATACGAGTCTGTGTACAAATTTAGCTGGTGTTGAAGCAACAGCACGGAAGGCCCTTCCTGCGGGTGGGCTTCACATTCCGTGTAGTTTGCGGTGTGATTTTTGCCACAGTTGCATCACTTTGGAGGTGTGAGTCTATCCTTTCGACACTGGAAGGATCTGGGATTATCCGCGCATTTACGGATATGCAATGCATCTAGATTGCATTGCAACGGTGTGGCCGTATTCCTGGCAATTAAAACACTGCAGCGGTCCCCGACCGCCACCAAAACGTTCTCAGAGATGCCAACTTGCTCCGGACAGCAAATATATATTTTAAAGCGGTAATTTATCAATTGTGATTCTTGGTTTAATAAGTTCAATTCAGTAGATTTTTATCCACCACTATTTCTAAATAATTCGTATGCTTATATGATTCACCACTTAAAGTACTTATAGAGTGCTTATAACAAAACCCTCCGCAATATCACAAATTCACCCTGGTATTTCAGGAATAAAAATATTCGTAATGACACCTGTACGCCTAGCCTTCTTGAGTTATACAAAAATAGTTCTCTCAAGAATTTTCTTAAGAGCACTGGGCACTTCAACCCCCTTATATGGTCTTCCTCTAACTACGACCCAGATGATCCTAAGTGCAAGAGACGGCCTAAGGCCATTCTCCATTACTATAATAATCTCCAAGACATCGTTTGATGATTTTTCTATCCCCCTGACTGGCTCCTCCATCATCATTACCCTTTTCCACCTTCTTGGGTTGGCCCAATACTTCGCGGAATTACTGCGGCTCATTCTGATTCAATTTACTAATACAACTACTAACAATGTTAATCACTAACTGCTTATTTTTCAATAATTATATATAAAATATAAATAATGATTTATAATAAATAATTAATTTTATGTATTTGTTATCCTGATTTAAAATTCTATTTTAATGTGATCAGAGGCATATCAAAGAATTTCATCATTATCATCATCGAAATATATCTGGGCACCTGGGGCCGTTAGCGGCCTTTTTCCCATTCGTCTTGTATTGTGGTCTTTAAGGTGGTTCTTTCTGGTAATTGGAATGCAATTGGAATAAAAGGAAATTAAATATTTTGTATTTTAGTTAAAATTACTTCACTACAAAAATGAGCTGCCATCGGTCTGAGGTTTAGGTCTTCTCTTAAGTTTTCAAAA